TCTTCACTTAGATTTTTGGACTGGAAAATTGGTGGAGGTGGATCAAAAATAATATATGATTTTTAGAATTCCATCCTGCCTTGGGAGGGGGGAAGTGACAGGAGACAGGACTTCTGATCAACCAAAGTTAGGAGTTTAAATAATTTAATTTTATATTAAAGATAAATAGCCACCAAAAATTATTTTTTTAAATGGAAAGTTTACTTCAAATAAAGAATTTAAAATTTAATCAAGTTTTGAGATTTTGTATGTAGAATGAAGTATAACAATTGAATGAAGTATAACAAGTGTCAATTGTCAAAGTGGCAAGTAGGAGCAAGTTGCCATTTTCTTGGAGTCAACAGAGCAAAACAATATAATGCACACATATACAATACATGATACATATATAAATGCAATGTACAAAAATCTCGGTCCTTGAAATAAATTAAAAAAGAAATAATTGGACAGTAAAATATCTTGCCCTCTTCCATAGGTTGCAAATTTTCAAAATGCCAACAATGACTGACAACATGACCATGACCTTGCTTCTGTAGGTTGCACAATTACTGTTATAACTTCAACTCAAAGACACTTCACTCCTTTTTCATAGTTCATGCTACTGATGCTAAAGACTGTAGGACTGCTTATCTCAAAAGTTTAGAATTGGAAAATATTTGCAGGGTCACTATCAGAAATATAGTCAGATGGGGTAAGACAGGACCAAAATCACTAACAAGCCAGTAGCATCTATACCATGAATAACTAAAAACCCTAAACCTATCATAAGGTGTAGTTATGCAATGGGCTTCTAAGCTACAACTCAGACATTTTGCATCTAACATAGTTTTCTGTACAGATTAAAAAAAGTGAGCTGGTCCCATCTTACCCCATTGGGGTAAGATGGGACCAGGCTGGGGTAAGAAAGGACCAACAGGTAATTCATATGCTACAAGGTTTTTAATAAAAGTACAAACCTGATATACAATATTATCCATCTAGGAACTGGAACACATCATTTGATTAAACAATCACTTGTTACTGTTTTATGTTGTGGGAAGTCAACTCTAATATCAGTCACATTGAAGTTTTTGTCACGAGAAAACTTTGTTAAGCATAGCAATAGTAGGTATGTTGGCTTTGGTTCATTGTAGAGCACTGCTAAATGCTTCATGTACCTATATTGCACTAGTGTCATTGTCTGAAAAATTTATCAAATTGGCAATAAAAATAAAGTGTCAGATGTCAGTAATAAAAAGTGTCAGATGTCATGTGTTTTCTTGCTAACTGCATTTGTGGTGCACTTCTTCAAACATAGCTCATGCCCTCTCACAGAATTGTGATCATAATTATTTTTCATGTTTCACACAGTGATTTTTCCCCCAGCCAATCTTGCACATAGTTCTGCAGCTCACTAATGGGAATAGACATCCCTATTTTCTATATCCCTTTGATGCAATTTAAAATAGTGCACTAAATTTCTCTAATTAAAAAAGCTAACAAGTTACAGTGGGGGGAAATAAATATTCGTACACTTGAAAAATCGTATTTTAATGTATGTAAGTACACAAACTTAACAGGAAAAGTGATTTAAATTATGTATAGAGACGCATAGTATTCAAAAATACTTGAAATGGTTCGCTGATAGAAATGTACACGTTATGGAATGGCCAAGCCAGTCGCCGGACTTAAATCCGATTGAAAATTTGTGGCGGTATTTGAAGATTCAAATTAAGAAAAGGTCCCCAACAAACATTGAGAATCTTCAGGTGGTGTGCAAAGAAGAATGGTATAAAATACCAGTCAGCATCTGCAAATCATTGGTCGAGACGTATAGAAATAGACTGGTATCTGTTGAGCTGAATAAAGGGTATTCAATCAAGTAGGTATTAAATTGAAATAATGCGGATTTATTGTTTTGTACGAATACTTTTTTCACCTGAAAAGTGAACATGTTGCATTGTTTTTTTGTTGCATTGAGATTTAATTTCTTTTGATAGTATTTTTGAATACTATGCGTCTCTATACATAATTTAAATCACTTTTCCTGTTAAGTTTGTGTACTTACATATATTAAAATACGATTTTTCAAGTGTACGAATATTTATTTCCCCCCCACTGTATAATGAAGTTTGAGCAAAAGATTAAAATTTTGACCAAAATACTCCATGTACAGTACTATACAATAATATATTCATTAAAAAACTATTTTTGATAAACTGTAGGGTAATAGAGGACCATTTGTGGGGTAAGACAGGACCATTTGTTTTGTAAAACAGGATCATTTAGTGGTCCCTTCTTACCCCATGTCTGGTCCTTTTTTACCCCATTTTGGAATACATGTCAGGCAGTGATGGTAGCAGGTAGGAATGCCTAGTATGTCTAAAAAGTTGCCTATTACTTGAGGTTACCTGCCTACATCCACAAACCTGGCCAAAAAATTTTTTGTCATTAGACAGAGCTTATTTCCCAAGCGGGGTTAACTATTTTTTGACCCTTCTTTACATAGGTTTTCTTTAAAAATTAGCCAGAAATTCATTATTTGCCAAAGAGGGTTGCCACAAACACTGAAATAGCAGGTAATGATTGTTCTAACATATCCTTTTGTCAAATTGAATTCAGTGCAATTAGAATGCATGCCATGGGCTGGTCCTTTCTTACCCCATGAAGGCTGCGATCCTGTCTTACCCCATTTGACTATACCGTATTAATGATATCCAGAAAATGGAGGATGAGCTGCCATGTTTGCCCAGCTCCCATAGGCAGAAAGATGTGCTAGGTGTGCAGAAATTCATGTCTTAAATTTTTCATTCTGCGTGGTGCACGGTAATGTGTCAACAAAATATTTGTTGTGCGCTGTTACTAGTTATAGATTTAACTTGGGTGCGTGTCAATAACAATACTGCCATGCAGCGCAGTGGCAATGTACATAGAGTAATAATAAACATATAAAGTTCAATCCATCCTGCTGGCAAAAGCTGCAGCTATGCTAAGACGTAATATCTTCTCACAATGCCGACAGGTGTCGATGCTTGTAGTGTATTTAATAACAGACATGTATAGGTAGTAGTTCAATCCCTGCTGCTGCCAGCAGCTTCAGCTATGCTCTGATGTAATATCTTCTCACAATGCCAATAGGTGTCAATGCTTGTAGTGTATTAATAACCCTATATAGTTTAATCCATCCTGCTGGCAAAAGCTGCAGCTATGTTATGACATAATATCTTCTCACAATGCCAACAGGTGTCAATGCTTGCATTATATTTATAACCCTATATAGTTCAATCCCTGCTGCCGCCATAAGCTGCAGCTATGCTACGATGATGATCATAGTATTTCCTGAAGCAGTGGCAACCATCCTTGCCATATTTTGATCGTATTAAAGAATTGATGTCACTTATTTGCCTAATTTGCTAGTTAACTAAAAATTTAAGAGGAAAGAATAGCCCACAAAAATTCATATCTTTATAGAAAATGTTTTGAAGTCCAGCTCCATTGTCAGTTCGTAGAATCTAGAATTTACATAGAAAGACACAAGTTAATACAATTGAAAGCACAGAACACAATTAAAACCCAAATGTACAAGTACTAGGGCATAAAAAACCTATCTATTCACAATTTCTAGGGGATATGAGCTAACAGCTGAATTTAAACTGGGCCTAAGTTTAAAAATGTACAATGATTCTAAAATACGGAAATCTGAAGTACCAGAGATGGAAGCTAACACCCTAAAGTCTCTGTCAGGAACTTAAGTCTCAGTTTCTGACAGTGACTTTAGGGTGTTAGCTTCCTCCTCCATTACTCCAGATTTGCAGGGTTTGTACTGTTCATGGAAAACCTGGAAAGTCATTGGATTTCATTTCAGGTTATGGAAAGTCATGGAATTTGCAAAAAAAAATGAAGCGTTTTTTTTTGTGCTGCAGTTGTTCACCGGTTGTGCAATCTTTGTTTCCTGCATTCTGATTGGTACTCCAATCACGCGACCATCAGTGACATGATTGGAGAACCAATCACGGGAGCTTGGTCACTGAGCTCAGTTGCATTCGACAATTTTTTGATTTGATCTGCAGTGGCAGCGTTCCATCTTTAGCATGCAATTTCTACATCACTATGCCTGGAAAGTGTATATTTCGTGAATAGAATAGAAGCTTATTGTGACTGGCTTGCTTGCCATCCAAAGCATGAAGGTATGGCGATATGTATATTGTGCTTGAAAGACTTTGATGTGTCAAATATGGGGAAAGCAGCTTTGAAGAGCCATGCCACTTTTGAAAATCCATGCAGAGCTATGCATTTACACGCTTTTTCAACTGTAGCCTGTAGGAGATGATAGAATATGCAGAGTTAGTTATTCAGTCATGCTAAACCTGTCATATACGAGTGTTGGAAAATTATATTGATGGTCATGAAGAGTCATGGAAAAGTCATAGAATTTTTTTCTAAATACTGGGACAAACCCTGTCTTTAGTATACACATTTCCATTTCTACAGCTTGATATCATCTTCATGGTCAGACGGTCACTCTAAAAACTTCAAAAATGCTTATAGAAATAACTCAAGTAATTTTTCAGCCGTAAGGCATTGGAACTTTATCTGAACTATTTTGAAACCTACACATTGAATTAAAAACTACTCGACCTATATTATCACAACTAGCAATGTGTTAATAGTACCTTTGTGTTGTGTTGGTAATTTTTATGCAATCATGGCGGCATGAATATTTTTGTGGTTTAGCTATTTCCATGTCTCCTATTTCATCTCATGTTTTGCTTTATTTCAAATGGATAAATTACATAGTGGGTCTCCTTCCTAACATCTTTAAATGGGGAGATGAAAATACACTTTGATGTCATCAACTTGTATCAACAGTCATAAATCTAGATTTATAATGAAATCAAATAATGTAGTTTGAATATCATGATAAAATGATTCTAAAACCTAAGTTTTAATTTGTCCTTATTAGTATTATTTACACATGTCATTTATCAAGATCTTGTAAAATGTTCAATTTTCCAGATTCTATTTATAGCATTTCATTTTTAAACCAATTGTTTAACTTAAACTTAAATCATCCCACATGGTGGAACCTCAGCACAAACGTGTTAAACTTCCTGCTGGAACCTATGATGGTTCCAATGCTGGTCATCAATGTGTTGAAGATGTGCAAAAACTTTTAAAACTTTTGTATGGGAAATGCCTGTGCTCACTTCCACTCCCTCACATCGTTCAGATATTGCACCAATGCAATGCTCACTTCAGTGTGCTGCTTTCCTCTAATCAGACAATGCAGGTAATATTATCACATTATTTCCTTTGTTCTACAGCAATGGTCATCTGCTTTTATTTAAAAAAAATTTGTGGTTATAATTTAGTAAATTTACTGAACTAATTTATTAGATATTTCAACCTATTCAGTACCATGCAAAATTTTGCTTGAATCTAAATTACATTTTTTTTTAGTTTTAATTCATACATTTTTTATCTTCCAGGACACTGATGGCTGCCTATTGTATGCCAGCATGCTGTCTCTTTTCTTTGATGTGGCCTTGAAGCAACGATCAAGATCGATGATCTGCTCTCGAATATCTGAAGTGGTCAAGGCAGGAGCTGACCTTGAGAGCCACTTAATTGAGATACTATTGAGCTTCTTGGCTAGTGAAAATCAGTACATCAGTTACACTGTTGTCCGTGCCATTGTTTCACTGCTGCTTTTGTTTCAAGGTGACTTAGGTGCTCATATTTTGAAGCAGCTTGTTGAAACCGCACAATGTTCTGAAAACTGGCTGTTGGTTAGTCATTCTTTTGATATAATTCGAAGAATAATTGACTGGAGAGAAAATGATGAGCATTCTCATAATGATTCTTCCACACCTAGCCAGCCTGGCTGCACAGTCATCAAACTTACTCCTGCAGATGTTGATGGTGCTCATGAATTCAAATCTCTGGTTACTAAGACTGTTGGATACAAATGGAGAACTCTTGTTGGAAAGTGTCTGGAGTGCCTCAACTCAACGTCTCTAACAGATAAAATTGTTGTAGTATCATTTCTGAACATGTGGATATCTCTTATATCTGTCAAAAACAACTTGAAGTTTGATGATACAAAGCTATTTTTTAATGGACTGGATGTTTTAGTTGACCCATTGACATGTGCAGACACCCCATTAATGGTATGGGAAAGAATCCTGCATCTTTTAAACGAGGTGTTGTGTTATGGCAGCACGCTGGCTTTACAGGAAGTGTTGGATGATGAACCCTGTCTCTTGGCTCAAAGACTCATCAGGGATGTCAACACCAAACACTTGCTGGATTTTGTTCCGTGTGAGCAGCCAGCGGAAGATCTGCCTCAGTCTTACACGGACACCTCACATGACACAGCTGTCAGTTGTAGACCATCAAGAATATTGACTCCTTTAAAAGCATTTTGCGAAGCAGAGACTGGGTTTCAATCTCTTCATATTGAGCCACAAGATCAGTTCAGAGAAATTTTTAATGCCGATTTTTCAGCTGACCAAGTAAAAGATAAAATTTCTGATTTAACCATTCATCAGTGTAGCAAATGTCTAAGATCTAATGACTGCAAATGTTTGTCTAGTTCTCGTGCTTCAGATAATGTGCAACAAAGTTTTGTCATCCCTGAAGATGCTTCAAGTTTGGCTGAAAATTATATTGATACAAATCCTGTAACCACGTGTGAGAGACTTGAAGGCTCAGTTACAATTTCTCAAAGCAGTTCAAATGAAAAAATTAGTATAACACCACCATCCCTTGACTCAAAATTTCCCCAGACAGAAAATTTGGAAATGGATGAATTGAATTCAAGATTGTTCCATGAAAGTAGAACCACAGTTCACTCTTTTGATGAAAGGTCTTCAACGGATAATTTTCCTATCAATGAACGCCAAAGAACAAGATCACCAAGTCAATCTTCTCTACCTTATTCATCACCATCTACTTCAAAGTCTGGAACCTCTTCAGCTGTCTTAGGAGATTTTATGCACTTGAGTAGTGGTCTGCAATTTTTAAAACATTCTTACAATAATGATCAGCAAGAAGAGGAATGTGATGACAAATCTGATATATCGAGCAGCTCTAATGAAGTGTTTACTTATGTACATAAACAATTAAGCCAGCACACATCAATAGTGCCTCACAAGACTAGTAAATCTTTAGATGATGTGGAAGAATCAAACATTTTAATCCCCTCTGATCTGAGTGAATCACAAATATCCAATCAAATGAGACAAATATCTAGCGAATCTCCTCAATCAACCACTGTTGATCCTTTATCTCCTTTTGTAAGAAAGAACTGCACTTTACATCACCTTCGTAAGTTACTGTTCCGTAAAACTGTTCTGTTGGTGCTCAAGTCTGTTGCTGTCACTGTGAAGGAAGCACGTGGTGATAGCTCATCGTCTTCATCTGAGGACTCTTCTCCTAAATCTGCAACCCAGGGATCTGATACTGAAGAAGCTGAAATGGAAATTATTTGCAAGAGGTGAGGCAAAATGGGAATGTAATCACGACCAAGTGTTGTCAATATTTTGCTTCTCTAAACTATTTTTTTAATGTTTTTGTATGCTAGGCGATATGGGTGAAGGACCATTGTTATTTATTTAATTAGACTTTGTTGTTGTATTCATGAACCTTCTTAAGCTATTTTGTTTGCAATCAAAATTATCAGCTCTCATATTTTTCACCTTTAGCTTACAAGAAGTGCTGGCCAAAACTGATGCATTTGTGAAACGTCACAAGGACTATCATCCAAACTGCCCCATAGCGGAGTGGATGGTGAAGCTCTTCAGTTCACATGACGATTGGATGGTTGAGGCCATGGTTTGTGGAATGGACATCCACAGCGGTCTTGCAAATTCTTTCCGGTATTATTCATTAGGTTAACTCTACCTATTCAGGAATATGATCCTAGTCTATTTATCCAGGAATCTACTTTCTGCATAATTTCCAGAGTCATACAAATATTATGAAATATTTAGTCCACAATATTATAACATTTTTTACAATATGTAGAATATACAAATAATATTATACATTTGTACTATGTGCAACATTATATGTATGCTTAAAACCAAGCATTAAATCATGATTTGATAGTACCATAAATCCTTATTATGGAGTAGTGGATTTGAACACAAAGCTACTAAATAAATAATACTACTGAACTCACTTATGGTTGAGTACTCTCAAATTTCTGAATTCTCAGCAGTGGTGGGGGAGTGATTAACTCATGGCTGTGCCCGCACACCAGCTTCTTGATCTTCCTGGACACTGTCAGATTTGACTCCTCAGTCCTACTTGAATTGCTTATATCCAACGAGACCTGCTTCCTCCTGTACCTGCTGAGATATCTCAAGGTGAGGTGCCTGCTTGCAGAGGTGGGCAGTAGCGCGCTACATGTAGCGGTCGCTACATTTTCAGTAGCGGTAGCGGCGCTACATTTAAGCAATTTTAGCGGGAGCGGTAGCGTCCGATACATTTAGAGCATGTAGCGGTAGCGGCCGCTACATTTCAAAGTAGCGCTGCCCAGCTCCGCCTGCTTGTCACATCTTACTCAAATTTTTTGCTTTTGTGGCTACCTAAGTCATATGCTCTTTTTAGCAATTTTTTATTTATTTATTTTATTTTTGCAGCTGCAGTATTTGACAATGACCCATTGATTTCATCATGTGCTGTCCTGGTTTTATATCTCATTACTTGAGGTTTGATTGTCTTTATCAGTTGAATAAGATTTATCTATTCTTTAAAAATTTTAGATCCTGCAATATTCTTTCTTTGAAAATTAGGCTTACTGAAAACTAGCTTTTATTTGTCATTTTAAAATTTGAATAAATTAACTTCATCATTTCTTATTATTTTTAACCATTTTTAGATGTTTTCAGCTATGATATTATTCACAAAAATTCACATTGGTATACAAATTTGCAAAATTGGCTTACCTTTAAATGACAGCCCTTTTAACCGATACCAAGGTACCTTCCTGTGAATAACTTGAGCTTCTATAGGAGACTTAATAATACTTTGTAATGACTCTGTGTTGAAGATATTTCTGCATCACTCTTAATTTCTATGACAGCCCTTCTAACCAATACCTACCTTCCTGTGAATAACTTGAGCTTCTTTAGGAGACTTAATAATACTTTGTAGTGATTCTGTGTTGAAGACATTTTTGCATCACTCTTAATTCCTGTACATTATTATAATTACAGCTGGTTAAGCGGTCGTTGTCAAGTGCGGAGAGTTTACAGAAGGCCGGTAGCAACACCAACATCAACCTGCACGCAGCAGTGCAAACCATGTTCACCCTCAGACATTCTCTGAAGAAACTTGTGGCAAAAGAGCTTTTTCCTTACAACATTGCTCCCATACTGCGGCTACTTGACCAGTGTAACCCACTCTTTGGGGCTGTAGTATGACATTGTTGCTGTGGAAAGTTTTTTATGGCTACTCTTGATATTCTAGTTACTGCTTTGCTGTTGTTGGGAAGCTATTAAAGTATGTCATCTTAAAATTATTGTAGCTTCCTAACGCAGATTCTGAATTATTTCTAATAAAAAATTTGTATTCTGTCGGTAGTTGTTGATTGTTTGGTTTTCATCGTCATTTACTCACTGTGTAATGTCATTTATTCTTCCTCATATATTTTGCTACCAGATTAAGCTATATCAATTGAATAATGACTTCTTACGTATATATTTCGCTATCACATTAAGCTATATGAATTGAATAATGACTTCTTCCTTATATATTTTGCTATCATATTAAGCTTTACGAATTGAATAATAATTACCCAATTTATTAATCATAGCAATTATCATGTCTCATGTGATGATGTGCACCGGGTCACTAATGAGGCAACGATTGTTCCCCTCGCTCAACAAACCAGATAAATAGAAACTATTCCATCATGTACTGCCAGAACCAAATGACCAGCGGTTATGAAGCAGAAGGACGGATCCTAGTTCGTGACTTTGTGAGCACAATAAATAATTACAAAATCAAACTTGATTTACTATAAAAACGAGTAAATCCAGAACCTTGTTATATACATTACCTAATCCCGGCAAAAATGTTAGTTCTCCAGGAGACCCATGTAGGTTAATAATTCTGTAATAGCGAAGTTTGTAAATTTGTTCCTAATATTGACTACATCGAACTCACGACTAAGACATTGAGCTGCTATCTCACGTGCCATCTTCAATCTGTACTACCAATGAATTCGTCTGGAAAAGATTAGGAATTAAATTCTTTGATTTTGAGTAAGGTTTCTTCGTCGAATTTTCAATCCGGGGGCAAACTCGAGATTGGTCAACAAAAATACAGGGCGTTATCGAAACGCACACAGTTCTACGGAATCTGCAGTGATTAACTGTTGACTTATGTTCTGATGTATTAAAAGTAATTATAGAGAATGAAGTCAAGCCTTTAGTTTCTTTTTAGCAAATTCAATATTATTGTCTCTCGTTTAAAGTTTTCTAGGATGTACCATGTTTGTATGTTGGTCGTTTTCTCTCTAGAAGTTCTTTTTAAATATTTATTTATAGCTTTTTTGCAGTTACTTGTCAATGAAACGTCCAATAATAATTACAAGGTACTGTAGGTACGCGGTAACAAGGTATTCGGCCATACTTCTGAAACACTTCTTATTTCACGTCACTCAACAATGTGCCACCCAAACAAAAATAGGGTGACACATCAATGAGGAACGATCAACGCGGCCTTATCTTTAGCTTCTAATTGCCTCTGCCTCATTTTTTTCCCAGGTTATTTTTTCATCAAGTTACCTGATGTAAAATTTTATCCCGTACTTCCCACAATTGATAGCAAATTTGAATTACATAGTCCCGCCTTCATAAACAGGAGGACCTTTCAAAGATTTTTCCTCAGCTGTATCGATTAACAATTTTAATGATTGCTCATTTATAGCATAAAATTATTCCATGAGCCATATTTTGCCTCGGAAATCCTGCCAAATTGTGACATTTACGACCGATGTCAATTTTGTTACTTTTTAATTGTTATTCGTGCTTTTGTTGTGATTTTTTCTGAATTTTAAATGGTTTTAGCGCTCTCATGCACATTGCTCACGTTCTACCACGTCAACATGATTTGATATGGCAATCAATCTACTCATTTAGGTATGACCCAGACATCAGACAGCGACGCCGTGTCATGTTAAGTGACTAATATTTGACATGTACTGTTATATGAAACTCGAAATTTATTTGAAGAATTATAAATAAAGAGAATAGTATTAATCTTTATGTTCCGTATAATCTTGACTATAACGTAGAATGTCATCGGCACCATACGTGCTAACGTCAAGCAATTTCGGAAAATTTTGTGCGTTTATGTATGAATATTATTTCACTAATAGTCTCAAATATCGCTCATATTTATTTTCGATAGTTTTTGCGACTACCATGAGGACTAATGTCCATGTTCCCAACGAAGCTTCAAATAAGATCGTTGGAAGCTTTTTTCAGACGTCATTCCCAGTCGATGTGAGATAGCGCAGAGATTTTGTCTTGGTTATTCTGTTGAAAATCGTAATGTATCTGTACATTGACATGTGCGTTGCTGAGTAATTATTCTTATTCTAATATTTAATCTATTTCACTTATAATTAGGCCTACTGACTCACGTGCAATGGAATCAATATGCTCTAATAAATCTGCTATCCTGAGAACCTTGAAGATTTTTAATTTAATGCAAATGTCTTCAAGAGTTTTCTTGGCCTTCAAACTCGAAAAAAATAAACCTGTCTAAAGCGTGTAAACATAAGTTAAACAAACGATAATGCTTGTAATTGCTGCACTGTTTTTCAGCGCATTTTCTCATTCATGGAAAAAATGCACTATTGACTATTGTGCTCGCCATGTCCGTCTGTCTGTCCGTCCGTCCGTGACCTCAAGTTTTCGTCAACGTGAAAATGCGCTCTCTGTCACTCACTTCAGTGAGTACTGAGTTATATTTTTTTGTGTCATGTCTGCGAAGGTGTGCATGTAATACTTAATCCTATTGAAATGTGGGACCGTATGTTCTAGGTTATGTTGAGCTCTCAGTTCCGGAGTAAACATGTTTAATTTTTATACGTAATGCTTAGAATTCTTCCTGTTTTAATTTTAATCATTTGATGCATCCACTAGGGTATTTACTTGTGTTATATGCTTCATGTTTCTGTGTAATCTCATTAATGTATTTTACTTCTTTACTTCTAATGTACTTCTTTACGGCAGCTGGCATGCAGCCTAATATTAGATCTGGTGTATAATATATTAGTTCACTCTGAGTGATGACTTGTAATGTTTCTGTTGTTCTATTGCTACTTGTCTCATGATAGTACTAATTTTCTTATGTATCTATGTAAATATTCTGTTATACTAGTTAGAGAATAACGTCCTGTGCATTCAACTGTACGAACAAAACTGGTTAACGCGGGTATTGGAGCTTTGCTCTCTTTATTTTTATAAGAATTTTCTAGCATTAAGGTCTAAAAGGACGAAGGACTTCTTCTTGCTTATTTCTTGTGTGCAGTAAGAGTCCCACGACTGGCCTGGTGTCAGGTAGTTATTATTGCTTAAAATGCAGCTACGGAGGTAGGCAGGTAGCTGGTCTGAGTACGCTGCTCACTAGATGACAAGCCACGGCATATCGTTGTCTGTGTGGTTGGCTTGTTTTTTTCGGCTTTCGGCAGTTAGTCAGACTAATCCTATTTGAGAAATGATTAAATTTATGCTTCTGGTTCTTTCTCTTTCATAAAAGCTTTCAAAGTGTGTCTTTGCTCGCTAGAAGTTCAACACGCTTTTGCGTTCCCCGGAGTCGTGTTTTCGAGTGCTCGCATCAAAGATCGCAGTTGTGAGGTCGAGTTATGTAGGAATGATTCCCTTCACGTACCTTATCTGTCTTCCTCTGGCTGACGCCTCGTTTCATTTGACGTCTCCTATTGCAAGAATATTATACTTTCTGTAGCGTTTAACATGTCTTTCTTTACCTCCGATCTCCGCTTCGTCGTCTTGTGGATGCTCTGCCCTGTCAGCCAAATGGTGCGGTCAGCCAAATGGTGTAGGCTCTAGAGTCTAGACACACTTTATGTGCCGAAAGCGGCCGTCCTTTTTTCATGTCTCGTGACACTTCTGCCCCGTATCCATTTCTGTCTCTGCTCGTTCTTTCCCCAATGAATTCAGTTGCCCTGTCCTCTTGACATCCCTCAAAGTATCTTCATTTACCTCCGGCATATTGCCCAGAATTGATCAGTCTCACCATCGCGAGCAATTGTCTTGTCTATGACGAATTTATTGTCCATCATGCGTCCCTGTAACTCCTATATAAACGATCAGAGCTTGCGGTGTTAGAGGTCCTCATTGATACGACACGTCTGTCACCTTCGTTATTCTCAACAATGGTACCGTACTCGCCTCCCCTTGGAACTGATATTTCCTCGTATCTAATCATCGCATGCCTCCTCTTGGACATCGCATGGGCACCATATTTCCTTCCATATTCCGACCGCTGCATTAATTTCATCCAACTCCTGCTCTCCACCACTGCCCAAGCTCTGGGTCTGCTCGCTCGTTAATTGATATCAACGAAGCCGACAGGCCCGCTTTCATGCCCACGACTAAGGGCTGCCCTCGAAGCGGTCTCTGTCCCCGCCTCGTGCGGAGTCGAGGTGACCCTGGAGGTATCCCGGTCGCGGCTTGCTGGAGGGCTCCACCACTCTGTCGATCCTGGCAACCCTTTGACCATTGAGCAACGGGATGACGTTTGAGTGTGAGACCCAAGTGTCAACCGTCTTCCTTCCTAGCAACCTGGAAATTTCCTTGCTCTCGCATGCCCATGAAAAGCCGTCAGCGTCAAGCCCGATAACTAAGACACCGAGGCTCCTCATATCGCGCTGTCTTTCTCTTCTGCTGAGCGGCTTCTGCCACCACAACCCATGACATCCCTCACCACTTCACAGTGGCAATAAGGCTTTAAAACGTATCACTCCTCAGTTACCAACCTCAGTCCTACATGCGCACCAGACGACGACGGGCTTCAAGTCGCGACGGCCTCTAGCCCGCAGTGTAAGAGCTGGATATGCTTTTTATAGCGGAACTTTGCAAGCAGACTGACATACTTTTCTACTTCAAAACTCGCTCTTCTTTCACAACCGCGTGCGTAGGTGTTCTCTAGGATTCGATCATCTCTCCTGCGCTTGAGAACCACTTTATCTCTTTTTTCTGTCCAGGCCTCCAACATAACATGGTGTGTGGACGACATCACCAAAATAGTTTCATCACCGGGGCTCGGAGGCGAAGTTGAAACGCTGTAGAAGCTTACCTGGCAGGTCTCCTCACGAGCCTCTCTTTTCGGTCTATCGCCAAGAAGTTGGTCGTTGTCTCGGACTTATCCCTTTAAACGCTTCCATCCTGATACCTACCAATCCACCTCCGCTTTAAAATTCATCAACGTAAATCGCGCTAAAAAAAATTCCTAGAACCCTTGGGATCGCTTTCTTCTCCTCACGTCACGGCCACTGCCATCATGACAGCTCCCAGCTTGCGTACAATAGAAGGCCTGACAGTGCAAAATTTTTTCAGGTTGTGCCCAGCGCCGCATAGCAGCAATACGAAGATGCTAGTAGACCAGTCTACTACTGCACGAATATCTCGAAATATTTTGAACAAGAAGTGATCATCAGTACTCGGTCCTAACGTTTCAAGTCCTATCGTCGGTGATCTACCCATTCACTGCCTTGAAATACGGACATGAAATTTTGTTTAGTTGTGAAGCGGTTCATCTGCCGGTGTGAAGCTGATTTACAACGTATCGACCTCGTGAGAAGGTCCCTCTTGGCGGTTGCTCTTTTGTCGTGTCAGTGTTCATTATTTAGGAATTGTTATATATATACAATTACCTAAATGGTAATTGTTGATGTTCGGCGAATATTTTGTTGTGAATTTTTTAACAGATGAGCAGTGTGAGAAGAGTCACGTTCGTTTGAACTAAGTTCGCTACTCTTGCAGTGTCTGTATATTGAAAGAATCAGTCGCACTAGATTATTAATGCTTTATCATCCAACATTTATTCTTTTTGCAGCAGCGTAGCTCAGTGATGCATATTTTTGTTTGCGGAGTAAGGAGAGTTCCTCGTACGATACAGGCTTCATATGTTCGAGTGCCATCTCGTATATATTATTTTCTTATTAAATTTTTTATAAATATATTAAATAAACGTAAGCACTTTCATTTACCGATTAGTGAGCACCAATAAAATGCGGGTTAAATCCATACACGCCGAGAACCTTGTTGTAACATATGAAGTAGGTATTGACAATAAATTTTGGATTCAGAAAGCCTGAGACAATTTCGCAGCCCACAGGAAAAGGTACACTAGAGTATTCATTTTATTATCGTTTGAATTACCTCATCTGGTCAAACAATGGCGTGTTGTTGCTGTGTTGTTATGGAATTTTCTATTACTCGTTCGATATTAAACTGCGAGTGCTGTAGTGTTGAAGGTAGACTCGTCCCGTCAAGCTCTTCCAGATCACATGGCGAGTGCTGCGGTGCTCGATGCAGAACTAACCTTGCAATTTCTTCCAAATGAATACCGTACATCCAGGCGCTTGCGTGTTGGGATCAAGTCGGCCACGAAAACGAGATAATTTGAATAAGTAACTGCTACGCTCTGGCTGTATGAACTGTAGTATCATCTGCGTGCTAAAATCTTACAGAAATTATCTTTGATTTCAGGCTTCACGAATTTCTTCAGTGTTCTCCGATAAAAGAGACTTGCCTATTTTCTACACGTTAGATCCCTTAGTTTTTCTACGGAGTGTTATGACATCTCTTATTTCTTCAGCTTAGATAATTCGACCACCTAGAACAAAAAAAAATGAAGCCAGACAAATGAAACCGAACATTGCCAACGACGCGTCACGCGGTATATCAGCATGGTTGTTGGAGAATGTAGATAGTAGGTATGCAGTAATATTCTACATTCGCAGCATCCAGTCTCTGCGACTGTAGATAGTAATTTACAAGTTAATCATTTCTAGCCGTAAATATATATTTATTAACTTATACCTAACTTTATTTCTGAAGTTAGAATTGTTCTCGAAATAATGCCTACCCTGTGTAGCGCATGCTCTCTGCCAGGTAGCCTTACCCACTATTACTATAATGCGGTTGCGTATCATTTTATCCTGCTATGCTACTCCGACGAACGTCAATTATACATTCTCTATGTATTTAATTTTCTGCTCCGCATCTTCGTAGGGACCCCTAATGAGCTATTTATTATTGCGAATGTAATTGGCATAACGGTGAAAAAAACTGGCATGGTTTCAAGAAACGGTTTCGAATCCGCAGATTTTTTAGTTAATAAAATTTGCTATCAAATACGTATAAATATATTTCAAAATAAAGCATGACTAGAGAAGCTGGACGGCATTTGATTATTTGCTAATGCTGCAAATTGAAGCTCTCTCTCTCACATGAAGAGCTATGCGAGGACAAGCCTGGGGAGGACTTATTCTTAGGCAATCTCATAAAACCCACACAATGAAGAATTCAAGATAGAAATGTATCGAATATAAAATACATACGTCTGTTTCTAGATGAACATTACAGGTGATATCACGCTCATATCATAGCCGAACAAGATGGAGTAGTATCCCTTGTTAAGCGATGACACAGATGCTTCACAAGAAAAAATGTATTGTTCCATGCATTGGAAAACTGTCTCGGAAGACGATTAGCTGAGGTTAGATATATCACAATAAGCACACTTCAAAAGCAAGGTACGATAAAAATCTAAAAAGTCTGTTTCAAATCCTTAATCAACAAAGGCACGCAAAAACATGCTCAATTTCTTTATAAAGAACAGTAATCTGACAGCGCCAGTAGAAGTGAAGAGACACTCGTATATGGCAGTAGAATTTCAATGCAGCAAGATCGCAGTGTATTTGTTGCTTCTATCCTTGAAAAATAGGGGTAAATTTATAATTTACCGTTAAGGCTACGCTGTATCAAACTTTGCACGTCGCACCTTTGCTTAACACGTTGACTACGATTGCTTCATCTTATACTATTATTTCATTTTTTGTAGTTTTTAAACAGGGTTGCCAGACGGTCATTTTTTCCGGACAAATTCCGTGATTTAGTTTTTCTCAGTTGCGTTGGCCGGCTTAAATTTATGATAGGAACACTTCCTAATTAAATTTTAAATACTGCAAGAAGAAAATAAATTGAATTTTTATAGCGGAACATACAAATTAACTAGTATATATTGAGTTATCGGCCTTTTTTGTTCTCGCATTTGGCCTATTTTAGGCAACCTGAATTATGTACCACTACGTCCCGGAGAAATACATTTTCGGAGGAAATACTTCGGAGTCAACGTGTTAACGCCTAATCAAGCCATAAAGAAAAACCTGCCCCTGAATTCATCAGTGCTTATCTGACACCTGCGAAAGCCGTCCCACTCACACGGCCTTTGATACGGGGCGTTGATGGCCGTCACATTCATACGATCATTCACGAGTTCAGAAAAATACATATTCATTCTTAAAATTATAACTAACACGCGACTAGTTTGACTAGAATCAATAACCCTTCTTGAAAATAAAATGGAAAATTCCATGCAAAATAATTTACATAATGAAAGAGAGATATGTGATCAGTGCATGATAAATTATAATTCACTATCACCTAAAGTATCAAGAACATTTTGCCAACATCGTTTTCAGGCAGCTGTCTTTGACATGGCTCACTTGCAGCGATTATTTCGGCAATTTCAACAAAAAATTTCTCTTCCTTTCATAGACAGTAGAAATGTATACTGTCAAATACAGTAGTAATGTGTACTGTCAAAGACAGTAGTAATGTCTAATGTCAAAGACAGTAGTAATGTGTACTGTCAAAGACAGTAGTAATGTCTACTGTCAAAGACAGTAGTAATGTGTACAGTCAAAGACAGTAGTAATGTGTACTGTCAAAGACAGTAGTAATGTCTAATGTCAAAGACAGTACTAATGTCGTCTGCCACGCTGGCGCAGGATGACGAGCGATCCGTAGCCATGATACGCAGAGCTCGATGCCAAGGGCACGCCGAAGTTTAGCCGCACTTTGAGTTGTTGTCGGAGCAGCCACTCTTCTTGGCCTCGCGGTTGGCGTTGCCGTTGGCGTCGCACATGAGCCCATCGCCGATCTCTGAATAAAAGTGGTAAGTGGTAGAGTGGAACCAATAGATAGGAAGTGAATCAACAACTAATAGTTCGAGAACTTATATCAAAATTAAGAGAGCTTGCGTACTGGATTTAGTCTATAGAAAATTTTTGAAATACTGAAACGGTGCATTCACACGTTTAGACAAAGCATGTATATAATTTGTATTATATTTGTGCTGTTCCGTGGATAATAACGCTAGAGGGAATAGCAGCCTATGAAGTATAGTTTTTGACGACATAACGCCATTTGTCCAGACAGCCACTTAAACGAGACGCGGCCAAACCAATTCCAGCCTAACCCCTCCTGGCATAATACACACAAGTTGCAACATGTCTACACCCAAAATGAACCTGAGCAGTTCTCACCTAACCTCATTGGCTGCAGGAAAATAGAGAGGAGGAGCAAGTAAGCAGGTAATGCCAGTCATTGTCTGCAAGAAAGTTGTGAGTCAGGGCGTGAATCTGTGAGGCCAGAAGAGGCTAAGCCGGGGTAGGTAAAGCCGGATGCAGAACTGCCTGCTCATAGATGAGCAAGCCTGCTGAAGAAATTGCTAGAGACCTACAGGATCTTCATCCTTAGGTAGCGTGTCACTGGTCTGGATCACGCTATTTCAAAGTAGACTGCGGCTTCTAGCTATATGGCTGAGTAAAGTTATTCTTGCATTGAGGAAGGGCTTATTTGAAAGTTAAATTTGTGGTCCACGGCTGCGCCCTCTACCGAGTCATATCAACCACCCACAGTTATAAGGCTTATACTCTATGGTTTGTTCTGTTCACTGCAGCAATAGAAAAACAACTCACTTATAGCGGGCTGTTTAATTTCACTGCCGACCTCGGCAATGACAGCGGCGTTGAATACGAGGGCAGCGAGTCTCCTGAAGAAGTCCTCGACGCACTCGCCGGTCTTGGCGGACACGGCCCAGTACTCGGCGCCCAGGGACAGGCACATCTGGCGCGCCTTCACTTCAACGATGCCGAACATAGTGTCGTTCTGGGGGCAGGGGGCTAGGTGAGATAAGGGGGTGATGTGAGGTAAGGGGGATGATGTGAGGTAAGGGGGATGATGTGAGGTAAGGGGGGTGATGTGAGGTAAGGGGGATGATGTGAGGTAAGGGTGATGTGAGGTAAGGGGGATGGTGTGTATGATGTGTGGGCACAGAGCACCTTTCATTATTCTGGGCACTCAGGAATTCATTAGGTACACGTAGCTCACCTGGTATGAGGATTTAGGTTTACAATACCAATAATCAAATCAAAACGCTAGTGTTGCTCTAGGGCCTAGGCAGACCAGTAGATGAGTGCAGACCAGCACGTGCTAGTTGAGTTCTGCACTCAACTAGCTACATGACAGATCACCATATTAATGGTTGATACTGTGCACATAAAAACCAGGAATAAGTTCTATTTGGAATACCACCAGTAGCCAGCAACTATCAATCAACTCTAAGCATAACAACTTACAACCATATCACGCTTGTTGACCACCAACATGACCATCATGTCATGCTGGGTGCCTGGGTTGGCATCCTGGGCGTCCTGCAGCCACTGAGCAGCATGTGTCAGCGTTGACAGGTTGGTCACGTCACACACCAGCACCACGGCTATGTTACCAACAATCACCAACACCACAAATTATATAAAGAAAGATTAATGCAATTTACAATTTTGCCAAGATATGATGGGAATGTTATGGTTCGTTCAGAAATCAGGAAGTAGCATGTAAATAAATTAAAAATAAAGTCTCTTCAGAGAAAAACTGAATGGGCAAACAGGAATAGTAATACAGACAAACATTAATCCAGGCAATTATGTACTTGTAATTATTCAGATTAATACTAATCTACATCAATAATATTCCTGATGAACAGTAATTCAGACAAATAAGAAATTTAGATAAATGTTAACTAATAGATAAATGATAATTGCTCAATGAATGAACTGGATAGTAATTTTATATCCAGAAACTGTACTAAAATCAACAAGAAGAAAGCATGTAAACCAACAAATTTGAACCAACAAATAATTTGTTGGATTTGCAATAGTTCTCAATTGAAAGCTACAATTTGATAGCATCTGAGAGCAATTAGATAATGACCAGCAATATCCATAGATCAAGAGGCAATGAATTCCATGCAAGTCTACCAAGCCCAAGATTATACTTCCTTCCATGACCAAAATTAACCCACTAAAAATTCTGACTGGATTATTACACTGCAGAAGTGACTCAGCAGGGAGAATAGGGAATATGTTTAAATGCCACAATGGGAAAATTTGGAATTCTTATAAGTAGATCAACAGGAACCTTACCTAATATTTCTTCACAGTTATTTGTTTACTTTAGTCAAATAAATATTCATTTTATTGGTAGCAAAGAAAAGGTTCAATTGAATTTTATATCAAACATTTTTTAAATAAAAAATTACTTTTCAACACAGCAGCAAACATTTTGGCACTAGCACCATTTTGTAAGAATATAAAACAATAGCAGTATTGTTATATTGAAGTTTGAAATAATATTAATTTTTCTATGAGTGACTTATTATGTTTAGTACTATTGCTTCATAAATAGTTGAATACCTTTCTGTTTAAAAAATATGCATTTGAGTAAAGTTTAGTTAGTAATCAAGATTGATAAAAATTTTATTAGCAGATCTTTTCTTTAAAGAATGAAGTGACATGAAGCTCACCATGCGCTCCACGATAATATGATGATGCGATGCAGCGAAACCTTTCTTGACCAGCCGTGTCCCAACTGAGTTAAATCAAGCTAATGTGTTAAAAGCACAAGCAACTAAGCTACGTACAATATAATCCCATTAGTGGCATCTAATGCTTATGTCCATATTTATAACTTCTTGTTGAAGTTATAAATATGGTTGAAACCACAAACAGAAAACATTCTTCAACAACAATCAACACCTCAGCATCTAATGGGATTAGTGTGGATGGGATTAGTGGAGTTTGTTATCAGATGCTGAAACTAATGCAGTTATTTGTAGCATGATGCATGCTTTGGAAATGAAACATTTAAGACAGTTTTCCCTTCTGTTGGCAAAGTCAAGGAGCATAACTGAAAATCATCACTGCATGAAATGTACAAGAATTTGTATGATAAAAAGAATCAAATTCATGTAAGAGTATAAACTATATATAAATATAATAAAACTAAATGGCCATTCTACACCTCATAACTTAAGTCTTATGTAGCTGAGCCTGCTAAAAAAAATCATTGCTTCTACTTAAGTAAATTTGTAGCACCACATAAAATAAATTTTAATTTACAACCATCATTAATTGTTCAAATAATTTAAAATTTTAAATGAAAATGAACAATAAAAATGTAACTTCATGCAATTAATAATTACAAAAACAATTTGAAAATGTAAGATTAAATTCATCATGCTATTGAGTTACCTAGCCATCAAGTAGCTGTTAGAAAATCCACACAAGCTTCAACCTAAGTAGGTAATACAAGTAATAAACAAGCATATGAAGGGCAATAATAATGAACAATTACAACAAGCCAACAAATAAAAGTTATAAAATTCTGTAGTAAACATGATAAAACAATATATTGACAACAGAAGGTAATTTTCAAATTCAATCTTACATTTGCAGATTAAATGGCATGTCCAGGACATCAAATCTTTCTACTTCAAAATCCACTCCAATTGTTGCTTTGTAGTTGTTGCTGAAGGATTGGTTGACAAATCTGCAACAATGTATAGCAGATAAAAGGGATGGAAATAAGTTATTTTCAGAAATACGTAATGTATCTTTGGATACTAAAATTAGTGTGATTGCAAATATAAAAATTATGATGTAATAGCAGTAGATCTATCATCTAAATTGGTCTGATGAAGTAATAGGTTAAAATTGTGGAATTAAATGGCTTAATGATTAAAGAAGGAATGTAGATTGCAGAAACAGTCAAAATAAAAGCCTAAAAAGTTCATAAATGGACCTAGAAGATCAACTGCTAGGCCTAACTTTAGTTTCAAGTTTCAACACCTCAATAATTTCACAACAAATAAATACCTGTTAACAAGGGATGTTTTGCCAGTTCCAACATCCCCCAATATGACAACTTTGGCTACCTTCAGTGTAACATTAAGCAACTGGTTTTCATTGGCACATGCAGTCTTCACATTAGGATGGAAGTCTGCCAGGGTATATGGGGTTGCCTGCAAAATAAAATAATAAGTTGCCTGCGTTTGACTGCAAAAACTCATTGAGAATGCATGAAAAAGACTAGGAAAGATTGGAAGAAGAACTAATAAATGGTAATTTGGAAAGTTTTCATAAGATTGATAAGAATAAAGCTCAATTGCATACTACAATTCAATTTCTTCACTTTTATTGAGGTCTCAAAAATCTCCAGCATTGCATCTCATTATCATGACTCATGAGACTTTGCAGATTCATGAGAGGTTGATAACAGTGATGCTAACACTAATAACAAAAGTTAGGAATGAATGAAAATTACATCTACCAATAATCATGATCTGCTTACTGCTTTCAAGTTTAAATGCCTAAGGATTTAAAAAGATTTGCTTATTTTTTAATAGAAAATGCAAAAAGCAGTATATTTTTATATGCAATTATAACTAATTGCCCATTAAATGAATTTTTACCTATAGGCTATGTGCTATAAGCTATAACTCTCAGACAATTCTATCCAATATCCAGATCGGATTTAGCTTCATTTAGGTACGGGTAATGCTGTTACAGAGTTAAAATTCAATAATTGCATCCAAAAAATATTTTAGATCATTACCATCCTTATATAAATATTATTAATGATTACAGACATTGTAAGCAGTGCAAAAAGAGTGCAGTGTTTATCATTAAACTTACCTGTCTCAGGAATGGGGGAGGCAAAGCACGGATTATTCTATTGACGCAAGCTTTATTTTGTTGCATGACCTGCATAGCATTCCTTTTACGGCTATTCATTTAAATAAATTTGATAGTAAAACTGAGAAAATGCTGATATATTGACTACACTTTTACCTAGAGCCTGCGATAATCCTTGTACTATGAGCTAGAGCTACAAACATTTCCTACAATTTCGAAAAAAAAACAGTCAGCTGCAGGTAACAATACTTACGCGATACTACGTGTCCGATTTTTTGCGTAGTTGGACGGAAATTACATCAACTCGTTCGTTGGAAGCATGGTTGAAATTATAATTCAATCATGATTGGAAGAAGAGAAAAAACGGAGGAAAAAAATTTCCCGGAGAAAATTGAAGGTCTATATAAGTTAAACTCTCCTAAAAATGTGGGAGAGCTTAGGAAATGTCCCTGTTTGCCGAATTTTCTCGCAAATTTTGTCCCGGACGCTCTAAATATTTTTGCACCTTTCGATGAGCTTCAAAAGAAAAATTTATGTTTGACTTAGTGCGCTCAGCAGGGAAGTGAGTTTTGTAAAATTGAGAATATTCTTGAGAATGCGCGTGTCCTAGCATATTTTTATTTCGGGTTGACAACGGTCGTCTCGGCAGATGCTAGCACTTCTGGTCTTGGCGGTTATTATTGCTGAAACTTGGCCAATCTCTTACAGCAGTGGCTTCTTGTTCGAGACCCTTGAACGAAACCGAGAAGAACTACGCTCAAATAGAAAAAATGCCTTGCGGCCGTTTGGGCTTGCGAGAAAATTTCCCTGCTAAAAAGTACGGACGAAATATTGTCTTCAAGTTTGGAATTATGAAATAAATTCGTTTGAAAATATACCCATCCATCCCAGAGTTAAATCGACGTTATTGCACGCTCAGCTCTGATCCTGTAATCCGTTCAGTATTGAAGGAGTTATGACTGGTAGCATCCCGTATTGTCAAGTGCACTCCTGCCTCACAGCCGGACATCGATAGCATAGCATAGCGATCTCGGCATCACAGATGTTAGGCTTCCACAGCCTGTTGCCGATTCTGTTGTGCCTGGTACTCGTTTCTTGGCCCATACTGATTACTGATCCTTTGATCAGATCTAATAAAGGTGGGAAGCTTGTCTACACTGTAGACAAGGTCCCGCATAACAATGTCCAGTCTGTTCTTAAACGCATCGACGCTAGAAGCCTCCACCACCTGTGCTGGCAGTCTGTTCCACCTCTCCACCACCTGTGCTGGCAGTCTGTTCCACCTCTCCACCACCTGTGCTGGCAGTCTGTTCCACCTCTCCACCACACGCTGGGTGAAAACCCTTTGATGAAGACTCGTATTGCAACCTTGCTTCTCCAGTTTGTAATTGTGACCTCTGGTGTTTGTATTCTTTTCCAGTTTTAGTATACTGTTGTCCGATTTATAAACATTGTGCGTTCATAACTCGATCATATCACCTCTCATTCTTCTGTACGTCATACTCGGTATTTTCATCCGCTCGAGTCTTCTTTCATACTCAAGATTTTTTAAACCTGGTATTACTTTGGTTGCTCTACGTAACACAGTGTGTTACGTAGAGTGTGTGTTAAACACACTCTCAATGAGCTTTTTGTCTCTTTCCAAGAACGGCGACCACGCTACATTTCAAATTCTAAGTGCGGACGAACAATTGCTATAAAAAGCATCTTCATAGTCTGAGAGTCCAGATACACAAATGATCTCCTGATGAGATCTAACAGTCTGTTGGCCTTGTTCACCTGAATTTCGACATGCTGAGAAATCTTCAAACTTGTGTCCATGCACATTCACACCCAAGTCTTTTTCAAGTTCCGTCGCTTGTAATTCAATGCGCTCCATACTCCCGTGCTTTCGCATATTATACTTATAGTGTCTATTTTGCCTTCCCAAATGTAGCACTTTGCATTTGTCAGCATTGAAATTAAGCTGCCAAGTGTCTGCCCAGTCAACAAGATTATTTTAAATCACTCTGAAGAGTTTGTTGCTTTGCGTCCGTTTCCACGCTGTTAATATCTTGCAATATCTTGCAATATCTTGCAATATCTTGCAATATCTTGCAAGATTTAGCAATATCTTGCAATATCTTGCAAGATTTAGCAGTATTTGGCAATATCTTGCAATATCTTGCAAGATTTAGCAATATCTTGCAATATCTTGGTGTCGTCCGCGTACATGGAGCACAAACATTTTACGGCATCTGGCAAATCGTTAATGAACACTACGAAAAGTATAGGCCTCATGACACTTCCTTGAGGCACTCCGCTTGTTACAGCCGTCCAGTCTGATAGACTGCCATTAACGCAGACTCTTTGACGTCTATTGTTCAAAAATGCCCTGACCCATCCTAACGCCTGACCATCCACACCAAGTGCTTTTAGCTTGACGAGTAATCTCTCGGGAGGTACCGAGTCAAAAGCCTTCGAAAAATCTAAGTATACTGCATCGGCGGGAGCACCCCTGTCTAATATCTCAGTCCAGTCCTCAAGGGTGGTGAGCAAGTTGGTAGTACACGATCTTCCTGCCACAAAGCCATGCTGGCAACCAGTCAATAAACTGTTGTCACTCAAATGCTGCATAACCTTATGCCTAACTATTCCCTCCATAACCTTGCAGACTATACTAGTAAGGCTGACTGGCCTATAATTACCAGGATTTGCTTTATCTCCTTTCTTAAAAAAGGGTGTGACCTGAGCGCCTCTCCAATCGTCTGGAATAACTCCCTCTTGTAGTGACTTTTCAAAAATCATAGATAACGGAGCCGAAAGGTCCCGAGCCAACACCCTCAAAACTCGAGGATAAAGTCCATCCGGTCCCGGTGACTTATTTGGATTAAGGGCGTCTAGTCTCCCCTGGCCACATCTGCTCTGTCGATCACCACTATCATCTTACTACAACACTATCTTTTGTTTTCATCTTAGACCTCGTGTAGGCAAAAAAACATTTCGGGTTTTTCTTAGCATCCGCTGCCAGTTTTTTCTCGTGGTCCCTTACTGCGTTTCTAAATGCCTTTTTGGCCTGATTACGAGCCCTTGTGTAAAGTAAATAGTCCTTTCCATCACGTGTTTCCATGTATTTACTGTATGCCTGTTTCTTTCTCTTGATTTTTGCTGCTGCGCTGTCTTGAATCCAAGGCACTTTTTTCTTTGCATGGCCTGTCCCCAACTTGGGTGTGCACTGCTCCATAGCCCTAAGACCCCACTCTTCACTGCACTGCATGGGGGTTAGAAATATAGACGCTCAGGCTGATCTGAGGTCCACGGAGGCACGGACAATGATAATAAGCGCCATGGTGCTCGTCCTCTGTCAGAACTGAGGCCGGGTCAAAATGTAAGAGTAAGTTTACCCTACGAGAAGAAATGGAATGATCGTTCTACATCAATTACTTCGAGGCGAGGGAACTCATCGTCCCTGGTGCGTAACAGAAGATTTTTGCAAGCCCTAATAGATGTCGCTGCCTCTCTGCAGGATAGAATGCAGAATGTTGCTCCTGGTTCGGTGGCTTAGGGAGGAACGCTTATTGAGGAAGGAACGCCGAGGAGCCTTATGGAGAAACGCCAAGGAAGCTGAGCCTTCAGCCTGCAGCTGCGCCTACTTCGCCTCCGGTGGCCGGTGCCTCGTGCAGTTGAGAAGTCCTGTGCGGAGCGGCAGGACAGTTTACGCACCGCCGCAGGGTACGTGTCTCGCCACAAACCCAGAAATTTACTGGAAAGCTGCTCTATTCTTCGTGATTTGGTAAGGTAGTTAGACCGGTAGACAGATTGGGTTTTAGAACTTATATACTTTTTCTAAACATGAGGATGGATATTATACGTTAATTTCAATAATTATCCCTTTTAAAACGTGAAATATAAGCAACATGATTATTAAGATTAACATGATTAATAATCGGCAAGAACAATGAATAGCAAGCTTACAGCATGAGAAGACACAGTTGCAACGAGAGGGTTATGATTGAGAAGTCTTGCGTGAAAAAAGATCTTGGAGTTTGTGTGTTGTGAGCTAAAATTTTATAGGCATATTGAAACGCAAGTTAATACATCCAATAAACTGCTTGGTTTGATCAGACGCTCCTACGAGTACCTAGATATAGAAATGATGAAGCTGTTGTTCACCTCTGTCGTGCGCCCAAACCTAGAGTTTGGAAACGTTGTGTGGTCACCGAGACTTGAAAAGGACAAAAATTTAGTTGAGAGTGTTCAAAGACGCGCAACAAGGATAATCCCAGGATTAAAGGGCAAGTCTTATGAAGAAAGGTTGAAGATTATGAAGCTTCCCAGTCTCCGTTATCGTCGCCTGCGTGGGGACCTCATTGAAGTATACAAGTATACTCATGGTTTGTACAAGGTCCCAGAAGCCTGAGAAGGATTACTAGAATTTGAAACAAGAACCAACACCAGGGGCCACAGCTATAAACTAAAAAAACTGCGGTTCAACTTATCCACACGACAACATTTCTTCTCGCTTCGAGTCACTGACATGTGGAACAGCCTCCCTGAAGATATTGTTAACGCTCCGAGTATGAACGCGTTCAAGAACAGACTAGACAAGGCATGAGCATATGTTTAGTCTTAAAATGCCTCGTACCCTACGGAACAACTGATATCTAGAAGCGATTTTAAATCTACCGTCCGTAAGGCCAGTCTAGTCAAGAAAAGTACAAGAATCGGCGACAGGCCTATCCGGGCCTATTCTTTAATGCCGAAGATACTATACTATAGTATACTATTATTTGATTGGACGCTTAGTTGTGGTTCATTATCGGTAGGGTTTCATCTTTTAAAGGGGAAGAGATGTACCGATGCGTTATATGGAGAAACTACATAAACTGCAGCTGGATTCAGCAACATGACTGAATAAAACAGAAACGAATACCCAGATATAAGCTATTTCTTAGTATAATAAGAAACAGGGAAAATTTAATCTAGAATTTACGATTTGGAAAAGATGCAAATGTAAATTGAAAAATTTGAATTAGAAATTTTGTATAATTATTAGTGGGCATCAGTATGTTCGTCGAAAGAAGTTCAGGTAACAACATTACAACAAGTAATGGGGGGCTTGTGTTATACTTCCATGCGATTATATGAGGGGCTGTATAAATTATCTCAGCATCTCAATAACTTGGTTAAGTTTAAACACCTTTTATATGAGGGCTGTATAAATTATCTCAGCATCTCAATAACTTGGTTAAGTTTAATAACCTTTTCGTCGCGCACCAAACTGATTAACGCGGGACGGCGGCGGGACAACAACGGCGCTGTTATGACGAGTTCTCCCTGCAGCCACCGAGCTGAATATTATGCATGATATTGAACCTCTTTAACCGATATAATATGAAAATCAAGAAATATTGACGAACCTAGAGTTTTTTAATCAAATCTTAAAATTATTTTCATTTGCTGTGAAGGCGGTCGTCAGAAAGTGCGCGTAAAGCAACCCATTAGCGTCAACAATGTGAGAGCTGACGTATTGGTGTAAATTCTGCAGAAGGGCAGTCAATGTCAAATAAGACTTATCTAGCTATTAGGTGTTCGATGATGCACGTGTGTATTGTAGAATTCGCAATGATACGCTTTTGACATTGATTAAATGGGCAATTATATTTTTCATGATATCAAATTGTTTGGTAATCAGGAAATAAATGTATTTTTTCAGAAAATTAAACTCGTAACTATGAAACACGAAACCGTCGTGCATCCTAAGCAGCTTTCGTTTAAACGAAGGCAATTCCACATGAAGAGCAATATCATAATTAGTACTAATTGAAATCAACAGTCTAGCCGTCAAAGTAAGGTTGCGGATAACCCACCCGACCGACTATCAATCAGTAATGGTGGGCTTGCTGCGCTCTACTTCGATACAGTTCTACGACGGGCTGGGCAGGTTACCTCTACCTCTACAACTTCAAAGCTTGATTATGAATGGTGATTTATGAACACCAGTCCGCAGATCGAATATGACTTAGGGGCATCGTTAAATTACGTAATTTTACGTTCACAGCATCTGAGGTTAAGTTTCATATAGCATTGTTCTGTTCCAAAATTTATCGTCCTTCGACGAGTGGCCGTTCGACCGAGGGCTGGTTGGACGCATGGTTGAACTATATAGTACTAGTTCAAACATGGGTTAGGCGCACGGCCTAGATATGATAGTCCAGAAGTGTTGAAGGTTACATTCCGTAAGGCAGGAATCATGATGGTCCATTACATCCAGGGCAGTGGTGATCTTCAGCAGGCGACCCCACATGAACTCCCTTACAACTTTGAAATTATTGATCGCTGAAGAATATTATTGTATATTGACTAAAGAAAATCTACGTATCTGAAAGACCAAATTGAGTTAGGTTGCCAAAAACATATCGGAACTTCTTTATTAAATAACCAGATAACCACAGGGTTGCAAGTTTTGAGGTACATGATAATTATTCATACTAAATCATAACTTGTTCGAATTTGATGATTAGTTCATAGGTAAGATGATAGGTTACAGCATAACTACGAGTATACTTGGACGCCTATTAAGGGGAGCGTCTACCCTAAAATTGAAAATTTTACTTTTTCGGTTTTTATACTAATTTTAAAGCTAATTTAATTTTTATACTAATTTAAAGCAGTGGTACCAACGGTACCACTGCCATCTCTCTACGTTGATTTATGATTTCACGACATTTCATGAAAGGGTGCGGGTGGGGGAGTTCTTTAAGTAATTAGATAGGAACTAATTAGCTGCTGAGCTCTTTAAATATAGTGTCTACTTGAGTTGTGCTGCAGTTACGTGTTTAGTCTCATCTTAAATCTGACATTCTGGCCTATCCAATGGTACCACTACCATCTCTGTACGTCGATTTTTACTTACATGACACTTCATGAAAGGGGGCGGGGGGGGGAGTTCTTCCAGTAATTAGATACGAGATAATTCGCTGTCCACCACTACAAATATAGTGTTTTTGTGAGGTCTGACTCAGTGTGCCTCCGGGCTTTGTAGTGGGAGATGTGCATGTAGTTGCTCTCGTCATCCTTGAGTGGAATCAAGCTCCAGAAACGTTTAGTTTGGTATCTATGCTACATTGAGCGCATATTGTGGTGCACACGGGACTTTGTCGCGCTCTCCTCAACATTCACACTTATTGTCACGGAAAACCTATCTCCTCCTAGAGTTTTGAAGCTACAACAATGAGACATATATCATTCGATTTGCAAATAAAAGATCTACAAAGTTGCGTTTGCGTTTTCTAATTTCTTTATAGTTTGGATTTTATTCAGTAAAAAGTGGGGAAAAAACCGAAAAATTTACGAAAAATGGTCTCACACCCACAAAAATAAAAATAAAAAAAAACGCCAACGCAGTTTTATAGATATGGTCTTTAGTCTTTACGCATCGAATGATATGTCTCGATGTTGTAGCTTGAAAATCCTAGGAGGAGATAGATTTCAAAAGTACCCCCTTTTTTGACCGTTTTCTAAGAATTTCACGTTTTCTTTCACTTTTTTCGAAAAATTCATATGAACAAAATGCGAGTTTTTTCCATTTTGCATATGTGTACCAAGTTTCAGAGTGATCCGTTTGTAAATAGCCGAGATAATTTTTGGGGTAGACGCTCCTCTTTACATAATTTACGAGTATTTATGTCAATCCCCAGATCATTACATTATAATAGAAAAACGTTATCCTAATCAATATTCTCCTGAAATTTGAAATGAAATGTAGTATATGAGCAGCCATTTTCGTGCAAACATGACTAAACGTGTGAGGCAATTGACATGTAGTGAACAATAGTTTAGTTAGGGATACAATCATTTTCTAATACGCCTACTCCACACGTAATGTTCAGTAGTTATGGCTCGGATGTGACTGAATTCTCTTGCTGGTTAGTAATTTCTGGCACCTTTATATCGGAAATATTTTTTGATCCCTGAAATTGCCGTAATGGTGATTGGGTAGAAGAGTCTGTAAAGTACGCAATCCAAGACTTTTTCCCAGGACTTTTCTTTCTCTTCGCGTTAATATAGAAGCCACATGGTCTGTAGAGACTCGGTTTGCGAGTTTCCAATAGCAGACGTACTTCAGAATACGCTGTTCAAATTCTACATTTCCTTTAACATTAGACTCGCACCAAAGTATCGCAATAACGGCCAAAAGTTCAGCGCAGCTGTTATGTCTATGAAAGGAATTTTCTAAAGTGAATCATTTTATATTCATATATATTAACCAACAGTCTGGAGATCGCGGGAAGTTTGTGAAACACGCACGCAGCAGTCATCAACCTGTAATGGCAGGCTTTTTGAATTCTAATTTAGAGCTTTTCAACTTTTTTCAATTTTTTTAGAGTATGACAATCTGTTTAAATAATCTTTGCATTTGATTAGGATCGGGCAATTTATTTCAGTTTCATAATATACATGCAGACTCGCTCATCAATTTACACGCCCCTTTGTTTGCTAAATGAGTCAAATTCAAAACGCTGGAACGATACAAATTGTAACTTATTCAATTTAATGAATAAAATTTATATTCATTTGTATCCAGATGAATCATGCTGAATGGTATGCTTGATATAATGAGGAATTTATATACTTGCTATATTTTGGAACCGATGTTCCCTAAATTTAGCCTTTGGCAACGGATCTGTCATGCCAGTTGCTATCTGGTAGTTGTTGGAAGTAGTTGTGCGGTCGAATCCATATCAAAAGTGATTTCGGTGTTAATTTATTTTGGTGATTTGATATTAATAGTACTTTTCTCAGTTGTTAAATACAAAATGCAGGCAATTAAATGTGTCGTTGTTGGTGACGGGTAAGTAAATACGTATGAATTGCATAAATAAGTTTGAATTGCGCCAATTAATTTTTAGTAGGTTCATGTTTCGTTCAATTCGTTTTGAATCGAAATAACAAAGATAAGAATGACCTTCTGAATATTAAGTAAAATAGACAATTATTTGTTCATTTGAAGGGTGCATGTGCTTCTGCTGATGAGATGCTGGTTTTACTTTTTGGAATACATTTTACCTCTGTCCTCTGCTGTCTGCTCAGTGCTCAGTGCCAAAAGCTATTTGCTCCATACTTATCTGTCTTAGCATAGCCTATGCCTAGGCCTACTAAGCCTACCAATCTACCATAGCCTGTAGGTGCAGGAAGTCAGGAACCTGCCAGGATGGAATTCTTAAAATTAAGGTTCATTTATTATATACAATCTACCTCCACCACTTTTTTTATCCTCTATTTTAGTTAAGATGAAGGGATAAAAATAGGGAGGAATTAGAGTTACACTTGAGAAAATCAAGAATGATAGTTGCAAATAATTGCAATTTGCAATACTTCAAAATTTCAATTAGACTTATTATTAATTCATTAGCAATATGTCTCCAAGTCAAACACAACAAATTAACATTTATGAATCATTAATAAATCACGCCACGGTCGCCACCAATAAGAGTTGAACATAACATGATGCACCAGACCCACTGTGCTGTGCAGAGAGTGGATGAATATTGCAACTTGCAAGATCTTTGGTGACGCTTCAGTAGCAAAATTTACGCCTTCAGAAGATCTTGCCGACACATTTAGATTGAAATTCTTGCATTTAATATATTTGTTAGTCTTTGGCCAACTATTTAAAAAAAAGTAAGGTTTCCGGTAGGGTAAACGCAGTATATTCCGACACATTAAAGACGCATCGAGAAATGAAAAACTATATAAAAAAAAACGTATGCGTTACGTAAGTTCTGTTGCCTTCACATGACTCTCAAAACACTTCACTACGCGTCAGCAACGATGAAACGTCACAAAATGTTGCCATATATATTAAAAAGCCTTTAGAATGGAAACCTACCAAATCCCTATATTCCGTCACTTTGTGTGGCAATATTCAACATGTGGTGAGTCGTATTGTGTCAGCGCTTCAAATTTAACTGATACGTATTGCCGACATCCACGTGTTCGAATTCCGTTTGCTGTGTGAGCTGTATTGGGATACAACAAGGCTTTGAATTAGAACACTAACGAATATTGAACACTACTTAATTACGTTTTAATTAACAGCTATTAGGCTTTATGTCAACTGTCAAATTTGACACATTTTTCGATGATCTCACCACGTGGCATGCATTGTCTCTCTTTGGATACCAATATTTTCTCACTAGATGGCCAAGACCTAGTGTTTTGGCAGTATTTTGACTCGCAAATGCATGACGTCACCATTTCAACCATCAACAAACGCATGGAACTAAAACAAAGCTTAATATAAAGGAAAAGCTGGAGAGGTGACGGAATTACCTACGATGTCGGAATATACCGCGTTTACCCTATGTTGGATGGATGCGGATGCAGTGAAGCTTGTCTGGACTCTGGAAATCAGTTGCGATGAGTTCCTGCCAAAAAATGTAAACATCAAGCTTATGATTACGTACCTAGTTGCAGTGGGTACGCTGCCGGCTGCCCTTGCACCACTAAATTTGTGCACCAATCAACCTTGAAAGGAACGCCTAGCATATTTCTGGATGACCACCAATCAGCCGCGGATTAAGCCATCCGTCGGTAACCAGCCCGTGACATCATCTTGCTTTAAATATTAGGAGCTTTATGCCACCACATTCTGAAGCAAATAGCCCAGAGAGTAATCAGTAATGGTTATGCACCACTGAACGTTGCATCGAATCATCACTTCATACCCTGACTTTAGCTTGAACTGTAACTTACGGACAATAGACTGCGACCAACCAGCCCAGGTTGCCAGTGGAACTGCATGCATCCTGCCGTGCACCACCAGACCATCACTTTTAGCTCAACATCTGGGGTTAGGTTTCAGAAGGCATAGTTCTGTTCCAAACTCTATCGTCTGCCAGCGAGTGACTTCCGCAGCTTTGCTAAATTACGTAACTTTTAGCTCACTGCATCTGGGGTTAGGTTCCAGATAGCATAGTTCTGTTCCAAAATTTATTGTCGTACGACGCATGGCTGTTTGACCGTGGGCTGATTTGACACTCGGGACAGATACGGACGGCTCCGATGCACTCTGTCCGTTTGATGTGAAATTTTTTCGCGTGTTGGCAGACAACGCTGGGCTTTGGACGCCAGGCTTATTTTCCTGTGGGCTGATTGATCTAATTCAATGGATGTGATCTGTCTGGTGGCATGCGGCTGATAATGTTACAGTCAAGGTGTGTTGTAGGCTACGTTCTTCAGGGACGGGATCATGATAGTCCATTCGAAGCACGGCACTGGTGGTCTCTGACAGGCGTTCCGTTGCGGTCACATTAGAGCAGTCAGACTGCATTATCACTTGTTCAGTTGATACTTGCTGTACAATCAGACTGTTTTTAGGGTAGAATTAGTTATTTGGGGTAACATGTGCATGCAACCTTGTAAATAAGATCGTGGCTTGCAAATAGTTTTTCATTACTCAGCGGAAATGGCTTTTTATTAAAAATTACCCGGCAACGCATCTTGAAATAACCCAGCAACGCTTAGGACTTAATACCCATATATTGGCGACGCTGCATCCACCATCTGCACCCTGGTGCACCACAAATGCAGGATTAGAATTTTCCTACTTTTTTCTGAAATCTCGCAGCTACAATGTGACAAATTTTCAATACAATTGGAATCTTGCAGCCCAATCATGCACTTTTGTTTACAATTAGATAGGAGGTAATTCATCTGGCGGAAATCTCACGGTTCTGGAAATGGCGGGAAGCTGTAGCTGCAGCCCTAAATGTAGATGTTTTTCACTCTTGCCGCAAAGCTATTTTGTGGGAGCAAAATATCATATGCATTCACTCAGTGAAAGCTAACAAGCAAATGCATTTGACAGTTGTCAATGGCACTTTTGGAAGGTTGGCAGCAATAAGCAGTAACATTAGTGTATTATGGTATGTGGTATGTAAGTACTATGGTATGTAAGTACTGTAAAGGTTTTAATATTTACCATAAGTAGGATGGTAGTTTCATAAATGTATTTAGGAACAGATTCTAAAATAGAAGCGACATTTCCATTCCTATATATAAATGGGATTAATAAACTCCTATCAAATCCATTCATTATCATTCAATTTGGTATGTATGAATGACAATTTTACTTTTGTTCCCATGATGCTCATTTTTACAAGCTGCAGCTGTAGAATTAAATTATATTTGAAAAATGAATTAAAATTAATTTTTTTAATTTAATTTAATTATTTAATATACGCCAGATGGTTACATGCTGTAGAATTGAATTCTATTAAAAAATGTTAAATTATAAATTTTAATAAAAATTTTATACCTATTAAAAATTTATTTTTATAAAATTAAATTTAATAATTTGATACACCTCATGAAACATGCAACATGTTTTATATTATGCAATAATTGCTGCTTCTAAACAACAAACATTTTCCAAAAAGATATGAGACATTTGGAAACTTGTGATGCAAGACAAAATCATTCAGCATCTGAAGTGAAGTTATTTAGACAAAATCAACAAAAATAGGGCAAAAACATGAAAAAATTCTTACTTGGACGCATATCAACATGTGTTAAAATTTTGAACAACTTTCCAGCATTTAAATCTCAGTGTGGAATGTCGATCAAATCTTTACTGCAAAATCAAAGGTGTGGGACATGCTCTTGTCATATGTTAACATGATGGCCCAATGTGCCATATGCTGTGAAAGATTTGCGGCTTATCACATCATTTTGTAGGGTTTTAAAAACTTTTTTGGGGTATTGGTAAAATTGCAAGAATTTTCTTCAGAGGTTGACTTAAATTTTTTTAGTTTAGAACATATTCATTGCAAAAATTTGTCAGCCACAGATAAACAACCAGTGAATATAATCGAGCATTTGACCCTGTATCTTAAAACATGATCTTCAACCAAATTTGCAGTGTTGCTTGTTTTTTCCTAATCAAAAATCACAAATCCATTAACATAATTGTTTTGAAAGTAAAGCACTGGTATGGCCCAGCATAGGTTGAGGATGCCAACTTCATTGCCCTTAGGATGCTGAATTACAATTGAGGTGAACTGCGGTCACCAGTTATTCTTCTCCATAGATTGCGATTTACATTCTATTTGGCTGATGGGCAATGATTGGCACAGATGTATGCGCATTACGATTGTTAGGGTCAATGCACAATGATTGGCATGGACAAACAAGCATTACAACTATAATTGCAGCTGACGTGGGAAGATTGCTGTGGAAATTATGATTGTTATGGCCAGCATGCGATAATTGGCATGTACATTGGCTACAAGTGACATAGAAGCAATGAAAACATGCGGGAGATGCATGCAATGGTGGCATTCTTGATTGCTCAATTCACAGTTTATGATTGCAATCATGGATGCCAATTTAAGGTCCAGATGGCTGAGGGAGAGCTTGAAAAGTCTCAGATATCTTGAGCTGAAAGCCTCAGTTTCCAGCCATGTGTTCACAAATGACCGTATACCATGCTAGCTGCTGGGCAATGAATGCTTATGTCCATACTTGCAGAAAAAATGACAATTGGGTTTTCTTTCAGATTTCATGAAGGAGCTGAAAGTTTGAACCTGCCAGTCAAATATTGGGTTGTCCAAGTAAATAAGATAAATGACAATGTTTTCTCCTCTTTAGAGAATCATTTTGGTAATGGCTGAAAAGCCAAATGTATGGATGCAGAAATATCAATTCATATAATCAATTACTCAAATTATGAATTCTTTACAACACTCCCTTATTCTTCACAACATTCCCTTTTTACATGTATCTGAAAAATAGGTACAATTTTTATTAAAAACTTTAGTTACCAGTTTGAAAGATTAATAATAATTAGGC